CCCATGCTCTTTATATTTTATGTTTTATTCTCATGAACCCAGCCTGTAAAACTAGTCTACTGAAGCCCCCCTATCTGCTGCAGAACCCCCACTGACCTTTACTGCCAGCGAAGGTGCACTTATGGTTGTGTTATTAAATGAACACTCTCCTTTTCCAATAACTGCGAGCTTAAAAATAGTATCTCTGCAAACAGACCGCCGACCCAGCTCCATGGTGCTCATTCGGCTTTAATTTGACCTACATTTGCATTATGAGACATTTCAGCAGAGAAAGCCAGCCACCATATCTGGGACTGTGTGTGTGTGTGTGTGTGTGTGTGTGTCGTGCATAGCACCGTATCACGGCCGTAAATTTCCTGTTCCCCCTGTGCCTTCAGTATAAACCGCAATATCAGAAGACGCCGCGTTTGGGGATTAAGATCCGGGAAAGGGGGACGCTGTGATCCCAGTGAGTCCACAAACCTGCGTCAGAGTCCGGGTAAGGGTTTTACTGTTGCTATCCTTCTGTCATACACAGCCAGGCGTCAGCATCCTCAGTCTGGTGTAACAACGACGTCTTCATTCAGAGAGACACTTCGGCTTTCTCTTAATTTGAAAGCCACATATTGTGTACCAGACTCCATTAAACAATCGTACAGTTTAAGGTTATCCTGCTTGCCGGAGAAATATAGTCTGTTAAAAATATGTTTAAATGTGATGTCTGAATCCTATGAAGACAATTCTCAATTTCGGCGACGATATAATCCACCATTCATATGTATTTCAGCTAAATATGAGCTTGATTCCCGCTGGGCTCCGCTACCGCACACCGTACTATTAGGGTTCTTTTGGTGGAAGGAGGCTAAGGGAGTTTCAAGCGGGACAGTTCAAAAAGTTACAGGTTTTATAAAGATGAAACTTCCTACCTTCGTTTTATTCACGCCGAATAAAAGAGGGAATCCGGGTTATTTAAAAAAACATAATAAGTCACTTTTATATCTATAACGATATTTGTTTATATGCGTAAAAACCTTTAATTGTCAGATTTCTTAATGGAGTTTGTGCTATGTCACGGGGGGGGGGGTCACATTCTAGGTTACGCTGCACGATGTGTGATTGTGCGGATTGGTTTCTTTATGCTTCATCGATATTTTGTGATAATCAGGAATTGCATCCAGTATTCTTACATAACTAACCGACAGTACATCCGACAGCGGGGAGGGGGGGGTTTGTGTCCGCTCCAGTGCGCTCTGGTGACCCGATCCAAGGTCTTCTCTCCCTCCCCGACGCAGAGCTCAAACCAACGAGTGAATCCTGCATCCTCTCAGATTCAGTGAGGTTTTAGATTATGGATGATTTCACTGCAAGCTCCAGTGCATGCATCAGATTATAGATTATATATAATAAAAATCTCTTTAATTTTGGGGCTTTTTAAAAAATATGTATATGTTTTGTGAAATATTAAACAGCCAGAGGATTGGATTTTGTACTTTAATTAGCTCATTCTTATGGATTTTAATACTAAAATAGAAAAAAAAAGGGTTTATTTGTGTTCATGCAAATTAAAATATACATATATGTGACCTGCAAATGAGAAGTGATTAGGCCACAAACACTGTAACCAGATGAGGTGATGTTACTTCACTGTGTGTAACTGACATGTCAGTTGGCTGTTGAAGAAGCCCATAATAAACCCCCTTCCCACCGCGAAACTGCTTCAAGTTTGGAAATCTGATCGCTGGTTGAAGTTGGATCAAGTTCTGTAAAGTTAAATAGGCTTTTACCGGAACTTACGAAGTGCTTACCTTCAAAATAATATTAAAAAATCTCTAAAAAAACGTCTCTTTGGGAAATTTGTGAACAAGGAAGGAATAAAACGAGTAAAATCCAAACAAAGAAAATGTTCTGTAGCATTGTTTGGTAAAAAATACTCCTTATAAATGACAACATTATGCAATATCTAACAAATAAAGTCAAGCCAAGAACATTAAATAATGCTTGAATTTACTCAAATTGATTAATTACACTTACACACACAGAAGTTCTAGTTTATTGATTTAAATAAACCTTTTACTGCAACATTAATTCTGATGAGTTGTGTTGACATAAATAAAGATGGCGAAACTAGTTTGGAACAAGTTAATATGTATTAGCAGCTTATGCAACTTTAAAAAACATGTGTTTATATAACCAATTATTAAGTAAATGATCATTAAAAATACATTTTAATTGTTGAGGAAATGCTAATTCTCCTAAAACGTTCATTAGTTGAACATATTTTCATTCAATTGATTGCAAACTGCCAAAACATTATTTTTTTTAGTGTAATTAACCTTAATACTTAAATATTATCCTTGCAATGTTCATAAAATATACTTAAATAAATGTGTATTTTAACAAACTTACAACCAAATTAAACTGCAGCTCACTTTTTGCATATATAGGAAGAATCTTTGCATATTTATGATTCCGAACTGTGAGTAAAACAAAATAAATTGTATTTGTTTTAAGTAAAGTCTGGATTCCTTTACTTTGAAGGACGCCAGCGGAAGCGTTGAGCCTCACTCGGTGTAGCTTGACGCAGTCGGCAGAGCCAGGCTGCAGTATGCGGAGCAGCTGATGCTCCTGCTGGGCTAAAAATAATCAACTTTTTTTTCTGTTCAACTTTCAAACTGTATGTTGTGTCTTTTCCTCTTCTTTTTCTCCTTTTTCTGTTTCCTTTCTTTTAAAAACAAACAAACAAACAAACAAACACTCACCAGGCGTCCGGAATGAAACGGAGTCAATAAGGATTATTACTTTTCTCCGAGGTAAGAGACTCTGGGGTTTGTATGTGGTCTTCCTCACTAAGCTTACAGTTAACTTAACTTTAATGTAACGGCTGTGGAAATTATAAAGGACAAAAAATGGGGAAAAAGAGTGTAAATAAATGTCAAAATACAGAAATAAATGTAGAAATAAATAAATAAGTACTGTAGAAATACAGAAATAGACTTTTTCTTTACCAAAATGTTTTTATTTATGTATTTAATTATTTATTTCTGCGTTTATTTATTCATATTTATGTCATTTTTGTCCTTCATAGTGAATTAGCTTCCTGATCCTGAGCTGTATCTGCTATTATTATGTCATTGTAGTCTAACACAGGGGTTGTTTTTGCTAGATTTAGTCTGTATAAGGTGTCAGTTATCCAGATTAAAGCTCATTTGGGACCGCATTTCTTTTCCTGTTTCTATAATGTAGTTACAGTTTCATTAAGTTAGTGAACCCAATGAATTACAGTTAAAGTAACATTCATAAAAGCAAAAATTAAAAAAAGTTTAAATTTAAAAACAATGAGCAAAAACAGAGTTATTGATTGATTACAGCGGCGCAAAGTTTTCATATTTAATAATAAACTTCAATGGAAACATCCCCCCAGTTTGTCCCAAAAGGTTGCCTCTCTTGACCCAAACAAAGATGGCCGCCAGATTTACTCCCTTCCAGCATCCATTTTTGTTGTGGTTTTGTAGTTAAAATAAAATGATAAAATTCAACTTCACTGTGCGCTTGAGGGAGTATTTGAATAAGGCAACAAATAGAGGTTATCAAAACCTAAAATTCACACTTTTAGAACACATTATTTTAAGGTAAATTATAGTAAATAGCTTTAGCTTAGCTGTTTTTGTCTATGCTTTCTCTAAGCATTTCGTTGATGTTTGAAATTATAAAGAGGAAGTGGATTAAAGGTCCAGTGTGTAACGTTTAAGAGGATCTATTGGCAGAAAATGTAATTTAATATTTATAGGTATGTTTTCATTAGTGAATAATCACCTGAGAATAAGATTAGTTGTGTTGTTCTTACCTTAGAATGAGACGTTTTTAATCTCTTGTCTCCTTCACACTTGTAAGCAAGACAGTTCTTTTAAAATAGGTTGTTTTTATGCGACCCAGCTGTTGGTCTAGTAGTTCATATGCTCCCTGCACACACACACACACACACACACACACACACTGCTCTCTGTAATAGTTAAAACAGGAACAACCCAAGTCTCCTGAAACTCAAGTCAGCTTTTAATGACTCTCCCTTCCAGCACTTACATTCATTTAACATGAATGCCCCATAAGCCAGAGGGCATGTCGGCACTGCCCCTTGCTGAAATAGCTCTCATGCCTGTTGCTGGCCCTGCGTTTGTGTTTCTGTGTGAGTGAGTGGGAGCACTTGAACGTGTGACATGCCACAAAAATGAGTTCAGCTGGTGACACGGACGTAACACACAACCCGCTCTATGCTGACTGAATCTGGCGTCTTAGGGCGACTATGAAAAGTCTGATTTGTGCTGTGAGAACTGACCTGAAGCTCTCCGGTTTTTCCACAGACCGACTCGCGGCTTGTGTGGAGCAGCTGGGCGGTGGCATGGCCCTGTCGTTTTGCGGCAACGACAACGGTATCAATGCCTACACCGTGAAGGAGGGCGTGCTGAACAATGGCTGCTTCGTGGACGCCCTCAACCTGGTTCCCCATGTCTTCCTGCTCTTCATCACCTTCCCCATCCTCTTTATCGGTAGGTGGAACGCACGTATACATCTGGTTGTTTTCCGTGGGACCTGAATGCAGCATTTGTGCAAACAAAAATCAACTATTACCCCCCCGAAATAGCAGCTGCTTGTGAGGTCAACCCCCTTTTTTAACTGGACGATGGACATTTAGTCCAAGTCTCTCTCTGTGTGTCTGACGCTCTGTTAAAAAAGAAAGAAAATCCACTGCTCGAACTATCCTGAAGGCCAAGATGACAAAAAATAAACATTTTCCAGAGTAAATATTTAGTGCTGGATGTATTTTGGACCAAAAATATCCAGATTAAGTACACAAAAGAGTTTCTTTGCTTCTGCAGAAGAAAAGTCCTACAAGTGGTACAGTCTGTGTTATGTGTATTGTGACAGATGTTTAAGTGTTTCCTGCTTAAGCCTCTTAAAGCTTCACCTTTTCTGCTGGAAAGTCTCAGAAACTACTGCAGCTGTGGGGACAGAACTAATCCTCTGAGGATTACTGGAGCAGACAGGTTCTTATACTTCACGTTGTTTGATACACAGTATTGGGTTTAACATGTGTGATTATGAGGGGAACGCCTGTAGAAGCGAATGTGATGGTTTATGGCTGGATGTGTGTCACCTGTCCAGGGTTTACCAGCCGCTTCCTCTCGCCCCATGTGACCCCGAACGGGATAAGAGGTTTAGTAAATGTAGGAATATATGGATGTACAGTCAGAGTTCATACACATCCTGGATAAACATGGGTTTCCAGTCATGGATGCACATGGAAGTGACCAAATATCCTGGAAATAATCCATGTCTTCCTGGAAAATTTGAGTTAATTTTAATATTTTAGGCCTTCACTTAGATCTACGCCTCCAATCGCCAACGTCACCACTTTATGTTGGCATCGGATGCTGTATTTGGTCCCGGTCTGGCCTTGTTGTTCACTGGGAGCTCTCAGTCCCAGCAGAGTCCGTTAATAGGACCGCTACAGCTGCTTG